TTATAGTATTATTTTTATTTACCACCATACCAGTGATCACGTGACATGTGTCAAAATCGATTTTCAAGTTATCGGATATGCATAATGAATCGCTGAGAGAAAAAAATTCGATGCTGTGATAATAAACCTGTTCTCATGTGTTATGGACTTTATGGATGTTACTTGATACTGTATATATCTGTTAATAAAAATCTCTGTCATGCTTGAAATAACAAAGTCTTGCCAAAATACGATCGATTTCTTCACTTTAAACTAGTTGAAATCAAAAGTAATAGTGGAATTTGTCTCATTTTTAAAAATTTGAATGAATTGATAACTTTTTCGAAAAAAGTCAATGGAATCAATTCACGAATTAAATCACTGATTTAATTCATATGAATTAATTCATGCTAACCCTGCCTGTAGTGTGAATTAATATAATATTATTATTAACACAAATGTATTATAAGCAATAAACCACAACAGATGAGGAAATATTTCGCGACAATTGATTTTTATGTCAAATTAGGAATATAACCACTACAAAAATTGAGGATTTATGAATCATTGAATAACTATTATTTCTGGAGTTCCCAATCGTATTTCAACACAACATGGCAACCGTGCCATGGTCTGCCCCTACTTACGAAATCGTGACGTCAGTTTTTAATCGCAGTAAATTTTAGCCGTTTGAAGATACCGTGGTATTATTGTTGATTTTAGCACCTCAAAATCGAACGAAAAATTTTAAAACAATATGAAATTTAAAGGTATTTGAGTGATGATTCTACACCTTTTTCAGATGTATTTCAGAAAGCGTCAATTCAATTTCAGAAAGCGTCAATTGTATTTCAGAATAGTCAATTGTATTTCAGAAAGTGGCAATTGTATTTCAGAATAGTCAATTTAATTTCAGAAAGCGTCAAATGTATTTCAGAATAGTCAATTCAATTTCAGAAAGCATCAATTGTATTTCAGAATAGTCAATTCAATTTCAGAAAGCATCAATTGTATTTCAGAAAACATAATTTGAATTTCAGAAAGCGTCATTTGTATTTCAGAAAACATAATTTGAATTTCAGAAAGCGTCAATTGAATTTCAGAAAGCATCAATTGTATTTCAGAATAGTCAATTCAATTTCAGAAAGGGTCAATTGTATTTCAGAATAGTCAATTGAATTTCAGAAAGCGTCATTTGTATTTCAGAAAACATAATTTGAATTTCAGAAAGCGTCAATTGAATTTCAGAAAGCATCAATTGTATTTCAGAATAGTCAAATCAATTTCAGAAAGGGTCAATTGTATTTCAGAATAGTCAATTGAATTTCAGAAAGCGTCATTTGTATTACAGAAAACATAATTTGAATTTCAGAAAGCGTCAATTGAATTTCAGAAAGCATCAATTGTATTTCAGAATAGTCAATTCAATTTCAGAAAGGGTCAATTGTATTTCAGAATAGTCAATTGAATTTCAGAAAGCGTCATTTGTATTTCAGAAAACATAATTTGAATTTCAGAAAGCGTCATTTGTATTTCAGAAAACATAATTTGAATTTCAGAAAGCGTCAATTGAATTACAGAAAGCATCAAGATCGATTAGTTAGTAGAAAGTGCACTCCATGTAAGAATGCTTAGGATGTTTAGTGCTTCCTGTAGTGATGTTTTTAATTAAATCACCCCAAATTCCTTTTTTATGTACCTTTAGGCACCTTCATACTATTAGATGAACAGATTACGGAATTTCAGGTATAGGGGACTATCATAGGTACACTTATTTCTATTGCTATCAAGAAGTTCTGATTTTTACATGTTTGTCCAATAGGAAGTGACTGATGGCTGTTTGATACTGTAAAATAGGCTTCGTAATAGCATTCACAAGCTCTGTTGCTTTGACGTGAATGTCATGATATTTTCACGATTTATAAAGTTGTCTGGCAGGAGAACACCCCGTGGGAAGTGCCTGGCAATTGTATATTCTCTTTCATGATAGGATCCGATTGAAAATAAAAAGATCAGCTTTTGTGGAAATGATGTTTTTGCCATTTTTTTTTCGTACTTTCAACACCCGGTATCTCTTGAAAGCTCATCTACACCTTTTCCAGATGTATTTCAGAATAGTCAATTCAATTTCAGAAAGCGTCAAATGTATTTCAGAATAGTCACTTGCATTTCAGAAAGCATCAATTGTATTTCAGAATAGTCAATTCAATTTCAGAAAGCGTCAATTGTATTTCAGAATAATCAATTCAATTTCAGAAAGCATCAATTGTATTTCAGAATAGTCAATTGAATTTCAGAAAGTGTCAATTGTATTTCAGAAAGTATCATTTGAATTTCAGAAAGCGTCAATTGAATTTCAGAAAGCATCAATTGTATTTCAGAATAGGCAATTGAATTTCAGAAATCGTTCTCTATAGACTGAATGCCAGCGACCACCAGACATCATTTCAACAAGGTTGATATTTTCTATATATCTTATTTAGTGGAATCGTTTTGGGGGTTAAAAATATTCAGTACTGGATGGGCTTTCAAGAGTTACCGAGTGTTGAACGGACGAAAAAAAAAACGGTATAAATATCATTTCAACAAAAGCTGATCTTTTTATGTTCAATCGGATCCTATCATGAAAGAGAATATACAATTGCCAGGCACTTTCCACGGGGTGTTCTTCTGCTAGACAAATTTATAAATCGTGAAAATATCATAACATTCACGTCATAGCAGCCTATTTTACAGTATCATACAGCCATCAGTCACTTCCTATTGGACAAACATGTAAAAATCAGAACTTTTCCATAGCAATAGAAATAAGTGTATCTATGAATCCCCTATACCTGAAATCCTGTTATCTGTTCATCAAATAGTATATAGGTACCTAAAGGTAGGTACATGAAAAAGAAATTTGGGGTGATTAAATTGAAAACATCACTACAGGAAACACTGAACATCCTATGCATTCTTACATGGAGTGCACTTTCTACTAACTAATCGATCTTGATGGTTTCTGAAATTCAATTGACGCTTTCTGAAATTCAAATGATATTTTCTGAAATACAAATCATGCTTTCTGAAATTCAATTGACTATTCTGAAATACAGTTGACGCTTTCTGAAATACAAGTTACTATTCTGAAATACAATTGACCCTTTCTGAAATTGAATTGACTATTCTGAAATACAATTGATGTTTTCTGAAATTGAATTGACTATTCTGAAATACAATTGACGCTTTCTGAAATTAAATTGACTATTCTGAAATACAATTGACGCTTTCTGAAATACAATTGACTATTCTGAAATACAATTGACGCTTTCTGAAATTGAATTGACGCTTTCTGAAATACATCTGGAAAAGGTGTAGTACTGTAGATTTTTAACCCCCAAAACGATTCCACCGAATAAGATATAACACACATAGAAAATATCAACCTTGTGTTGAAATGTTGTCTGGTGGTCGCTGGCTTTCAGTCTATAGAGAACGATTTCTGAAATTCAATTGACTATTATGAAATACAATTGATGTTTTCTGAAATTGGATTGATTATTCTGAAATACAATTGACGCTTTCTGAAATTGAATTGACTATTCTGAAATACAATTGATGCTTTCTGAAATGCAAGTGACTATTCTGAAATACATTTGACGCTATCTGAAATTGAATTGACTATTCTTGAATACAATTGACGATTTCTGAAATAGATAGATAGATAGATAGATAGAGTTTATTTAACTATGTTACATACAAGTATGTTTATAGCAGGTCAGCAGGGCAAGGGAAAAGTAGCACAGTAAAGTATCAATACTAACATATCATAAAATACAATGTAGTGGTAATTTTGAAAATGTGATAAAAATAATTAGTATCTGTAATATATATCAAAGAATTACATGACAAAAGCGTATATGATATGATAAAAAATGACAAGTATCAATAAAATAATTTGAAAAAATCACATAAATGAATAGATAAATGATAAGATCAATTAAAAAGTTATAAAAACAATGGCAAACATAAAAGCTATGTTGCCCTATGTAAGTCTAAGCTCTAAGAGATTTCGATTTTTGGAGGTATCCGGATATACTGTAGAAACAATTATCAAGAAGAAATCTTTTGATTGTTGTTTTGAATTTTTTTGGTTCCAGTAGTTTAACAGATTCATGAAGAACATTGTATAGATTGAAATTCAAAGAATTCTGTTGGCTTACAACTAGTCTATGTTATTGAAGATTCAACAAGTCTGCGGATCTGGTGTTGTAATTATGTATATCCGAGTGCTTTATGAATATACAGGGTAGGGAGTGGCATAATACCTTATTTGATGAAGGATTGTTTACAATGATCTCTATACTCAAGATTAGCTAGAATTCTTATAGCCCTTTTCTGTGACCTGAATACCCTATTCGCATTACAAGAGTTGCCCCAAAGAAGAATGCCATAGGATAAGACAGAGTGAAATAGAGAAAAGTACGTTATTTTCAGTACATCCATATTAGTAACAGGTTTAAGTTGCCTCAATATGAATAAAACACTAGATAACTTACTAAGCACCTGATCTACATGACTGGACCAATTTAATCTATCATCAATTTTTAAACCCAGTAGTGTAATATTATGCCCTTTTTGATACAGAGGATTTGAGGAGACGATCAAGTTTTGAGTTTTGTTCTCGTTTAGTTTGAGTTTATTTCGCGTAAACCAATTTTTTGCAACGTTCTTTTCGAGTTCAGCAGCTACTGGTAGTGCGTCATGCAGCTTACCCGAGCTTATGAGGGTGGTGTCATCAGCAAATAAAACGCATTTTATAGGTTCGATAGACTGACATAAGTCGTTTATGTATACTAGGAACATAAACGGCCCAAGGACTATTCTGAAATTAAATTGACGCTTTCTGAAATACATCTGGAAAAGGTGTAGTTATGAATTTAAAAAAAAAATTGACCACTCGCCTATTAACGCTCATCGTGAAAAACCCTGTTATAGTGTTAAAAAATTCGACAGTTTCACAGTGAATGATATTTCAGAAGGAGGCTGTCTTCAGTTTCAAACTATTTGGAGGCATCTGAAACGAGCAACAGAAGAAAGACGAAAGGAAAATTCCAGATGGGTTTGCCCGTTTTCGAAGATACTCCGAAAGAGGACCTGCAGGAAGTCATCACAAAGGAAGGGAAGATGAAGAAAGAGGAAGAGACGAAAAAAGAGCCGACAATAATTGGTGAGAAACAACATCATTGATGAACGTATACATGTTCACTCCGTATATTTGAACAGCTTCTACAGGGTTTATCATTGAAGATAGAAAACAACTTCAAGGGTTTGTTCTGAACCTCCAGAAAATTGTGCGAGGTGAAACAAATCAATATCGCTGATATAAGAAATGGGTATCAACTTTGCTATCTTCAATGGAATACGCTTTATATTTTTAGAAAAAAATGAAGTTCTTTCTTTTCTGATTTCAAAAATACAGGGTGAGTCATAACTATTGGGACATAGGCTATGGGTGGATTGTTTGGACCAAACTATGGTAATTGGACCAAATATGCCCTAATGAAATATTGCTGTGGAAAAAGATACAGGGCGTTTCGATAAAAAAAAAGTATTGGCTATAAACTCGCACCAAAATTCATTCACTGACATGAAATGTAATTCACCAGCAATAATTATCTGACACTCCAAAGCACACTCTTCATAAATGAAATGATTTTTGAGATCCCCTTCCGAATCTTTGAACAGTTAAAGGTCGTTTTTCTCGGAAACGGATGAAAATATCGTTTTCAAAGATATTTTTCAATCAGAATCACTAAAAAGTTTCGTCAAAAAAAGTTCTCATTCGATTTCGTCACCAGGAATCATATTTCCCGTAAAAAAATATGCCTCTGTACCGATTTTGATAACAATTGATATATACAGGGTGGCATTGAAATAAGAGCAAATATTTCAAGCCTCGAGTAAGCTCGACGTATACTATAGTGGCTCCAATAAAAAAAAATATGGGGATCAAAATAAAATTTGAGGTTAGACCCCATTTTCGACCTAAAGTTCCACACTGTAGCAATTCTGACGTCACCCCTGTTCAAATTTTCTTGGGGAAGGCTTTCAATCATTTAAATTGTTTTAAAGTGGCGTACTTGATTTTTTTCTCGTATTTTGTTCAATTTTTGGGATGGAATTTATTGTCAATTAAAAGAATTAGAAAAAAATCTGATATCATGGGAATATTCGTTAGACTGTATCATACTGTTTTTTTTGCAATTGCATTACCTCGTTCCTCGTTGGTCCCAGCACTGGGACCAAAAGCCCCATAAGTCGAAACTTGTGCAGGGTTAGGTAAGCATACAAACACAAACATCCATGACCTAACTAGGATTCGAACCTATGTCCCGGTGAGAGTGCCCATACGAACTCAGCGCATTCACGCTCTCGACCACCGAGCCGCCCTAATTATTTCAAAAACACCTTGTATACAGTGAAATCATTTGCGAAAAACGAAGAAATATATTCACAGCAATATATTATTGAGACAAATTCATTCCATATTATGGTCCAAACAATCTGCCATATGTCCCAATAATAGTTATGACTCAACCTGTAGATAGGTTGTTGATATTCGGTTCAGCCGTTTATGAAATATTCGAAGTCGAACATTTTAGAGTTAGTTATGTTATAGTTTTAGTTTACCAAATCCCAATTGCCATGAAGAATCAACAACACAATATGCCGGTTGTCATTAATCAAACACCTGTCATATTTTCTTTGCATATGTGTTGTTGATTCTTCATGACATCTACGATTTGGTTAAACCAAATTGTAACTAAAAAATGTTCAGCCTCGAATATTATGTCAACGGCTGAACAGCCTATATAATTTTGAAATCAGAAAAGAAAGATCTTCAATTTTTTCGGAAAATATATAGTGTCTCAAGTTCCGTTGAAATTAACGAAGTTGGTATCCATTTCTTATATCAGCAATATCCATTTGTTTCATCTCGTATAATATTCTGGAGATTCAGATGGAGACCTACAACTTTTGTATTTGAAGTTTTTTTTCAATCTTCAATGATAACCCTGTAGACCCAGTAAATACCCGTGATTCGATTTGTGAATCACATCGACATCTCCAGATCCTCTATTCGGGGCCCTTTTGGTCACTTTTCACTTCACATTTTGATGCCAAATGGGACTCAAAGTTAGCTGAATGTGACTCCAGATTTCACGTTGAAATTAGACTCACATTGAGATTACATTATAATCAAAATGGGAGGTTTGGAAAACCAGCGACCATTCATAAATGTGAGGTTCTTTTCGATTATTATACTGGTATCGTAGGGTATGACATCGGCTGAACCGAATAACAACAACGAAATCAGAAAAGAAATATCTTAAATTTTTTCGAAAAATATATAGTGTCCAAAGTTCCGTTGCAGTTAACAAAGTTGGTTTCCATTTCTTGTATCAGCGTTATTCATTTGTTTCATCTCGTACAATATTCTGGAGATTCAGAAAAACCCTACAACTCTTGTATTTGAATTTTTTTTTCAAATCTCAATGATAACCCTGTAGAAGCTCTTTTTAAATATACAAGTGTCAAGCCGACACTGTACATTTTGGGTCGAAATTATTGATGAGGTAGGTAGGAGATATTGGGTTGCGTGCAAGAACTGTCAGATGACCGACCCTGGAGGTGAAACATTGAATCACAACCTCACTTTTCTTATTTGTTAACAACTGATTGAAATAGTTTTTCACAATTATTTTGTCATAGGAATCGTATTTTTTTCGGCTATTCATTGATTCGCTCATACCATCACATTGTGCTGTTGTACAATGCACAAAAACTGCAGCAGAAGACGAAGGAATCCTGTTGGTACTTTATGATTTAGAAGTAAGTACCTACCATAGTCATGCAATCAAACGGAAGGACTAGTCTGACATGCTGACGAAATATGATCGTCTGTGTTGCAATGAACTCAATATAAACACCGTGTGTTGTAGACATTTTCAATCTACTAGCAGTAATAGCTTGTATATTGCAGAAGTGGGAGAAGGAATTTTAATAAGGACTGACAACATTTCATAATGATAACTATGTGAGATTACTATTTACCTGATAAGTCATATTCCTTCGTCTCTCGCTGCATTTTTTGTGCATTGTACAACAGCACAATGCGAAGGCATGCTTGAATTAATGAATAGCGCAAAAAACACGATTCGTTTGCCATAATATTGTGAAAAACTATACCAATCCTTTGATTCCTCTATAACCAAATGACATAGAGAGGTTGTGTTTCAATAATTCACAGAAGAGTGAGGTTGTGTTCCAATATTTTACCTCCAGGGTAGGTCATCGTGCACGCGACCTATAGGAAATCAGGTTATAGTGTTTTCAAATCTCTCTGCTCTAGATGTCGCTGTGGGCCAGCGTGTTTGGGCAAATAACCGGTATGCTGGTGGTTAGCGATACCTGACTTCCATTCAAGCACAATTCACCATTTCTTTTGTCCACAATCTCAGATAAATCTGCCTGTATCATTCAAAATTTTTGAGCTTTTGAGCGTTTTTTAAAGACAGCATACTTTTCAGTTTCTGAAGACGAAATGGACGAAGACTATGAAGACGATGAACAGCCGGCGGAGACGAACAACGAAATGGGCGTTCTTCAAATGCTGCGCCAACATAGAGAAGATGAAGAAGATCCTCAAGAATTCGGTTACGGGTATTACGAAGAACCGGACTACTGAAATGCCGTGTTTTCATATAGGGTTAAGGTACAACGGAAGCTTCTTGTAGTATGACGAGCAGTGGCGGTTCCTCGGAGGCAAAGGAAGCTGGGTCTCCTCAAGAATTTCCATACTATGGTAGGTATAGGGTGTTCGGAAAGGTCATGTCGTAAATGATAGGGCTGATAGAGTGAGCCAAAATAATGTCAGTATTTCATATAAAAAAATGCTACCGCATTCACTTCGATATTGACCTTGAAAGTTTGAATAAAAAAAATTATTTCATGTATACCTTTTGAACGTATCAATGATATTCGGGCAACTAAATTAACTCATACTAATGCTCATTTCGAAATGTAAACCGCTGTACATTAATTATGTTTTATAGAAGATGGGACAATTTTTTCCTAGACCAAGAGCTAGCGACCGCCAGACTTACGTCACTTCAACAAGGTTGAAATTTTTTATGTGTGTTATAACTCATATAGTGACAACGATTTGGGAGTTACAAATCTTGAATACCAGGGCTTTCAAGAGATACCGGGTGTTGAAAGTACGAAAAAATAACTGGTAAAAACGTCATTTCAACAAAGCTGATTTTTTCATATGTTCAATTTGACCAATTGCCAGACACTTTCCACGGGTTGTTACCCCTACCAGACACGTTTAAAAATCGTAAAAAATTAATATATTTGAATTCTTTCCAGAATGATGTATCCATATAAGAAATTATATAGTCCAAAAGTTCGAAAAAAGTCCAAAACCTACCTTCTCTCTCTATCCTCTCTAGGTTCGACATTATAGGGATTTCTTTTCGTGCGCTCCAAGCGTTGAAAAATTGATGAAATAATGAAAAGGAATGAATAACTAACAAACGATATATCCTCTATACTTCCTCTCATATATTTCATCAATACTTATACTCTTACACTGATAATAATTATTAATGAGAAAATTGATGCTACCGAACTATCAATTATTCTGTTTCTTACTGGAGGAACTCGGCTCAGAACGCGTTTTTGCTTGTGCAACGATGCTCTCGCACAGAGGGTTGACGTTCAGAGGTGTCTGGCTGTTTAAAATTCAGCTTTGTTGCTATGACGTAAATGACACGATATTTTTGCGATTTTTAAACGTGTCTGGCAGAGGTAACACCCCGTGGAACAATTGTATATTCTACTTCATGAAAGGGAAAGGGAATTACGTTTTTGCCAGTCATTTTTCCGTACTTTCAACACCCGGTATCTCTTGAAAGCCCTGGCATTCAAGATTTGTAACCCCCAAACCGTTGTCACTGTATGTATGTATAACACACATAAAAAATTTCAACCTTGTTGAAATGACGTAAGTCTGGCGGTCGCTAGCTCTTGGTCTATTCCGTTTAATGGAGGCATTTTTCACAGGGGTGACAAATTTGACATTTTGCTTCCACCGTTTGATTCCTTCATTTTTTTTCTTTCTACAAAAATAGTATGATTTATTTCAATCGATATCTTGTACCGTTCTAGAGAAAATCGCATTTTAGAAACATAAATCCCAACCATTTCAAAGGTAATAGAGACTCTATTCAATAAATACTGTCTGTAGGTTAATCGAGGAGGTGTTACATTCATTTAACTTGATTATTAGGAATTTTCTCTTCTCGCTTCTACAAAATAAAAATATGAGTATTATTTCAATATACCGGGTGAGTCATTGACATGGGAAAGTGAGATAACGACTTCATTGTTTGACATAGATAAATGAAAATTTTTGTGATGGTCTAGGCTCATGAGAAGCATATTTGTAAATTACTTTGCGTATACAGGGTGACTCAAATATGCGTGGCGTATGAAAGTTATACTTTTTATTGTAGGACACCCTGTATTTCATTTCATTTCCGGTTTCTCCTTTTTGAGCTGATTCCATCAATGTATCACACTCGGGATCTAGCGGAAATGATTACAGAGATATAGGGTGTTCAAAATCGAGATTTTTCAACTTTAGGATTTTTTTGTGTTGAAACTATCAAGTATTGGTCAGAACGGCTCACATGTCCCTATATTAACTTTGGATTCACTATCTACTGATATTTAATTTGGACGAATACAGGGTAGTTCAAAATTCAGAATCATGAACCACCCTGTATTCGTTCAAATTAAATATCAGTAGATAGTAAATCAAAAGTTGAGATAGGGACATGTATGCCGTTTCGACCAATAATGAATAGTTTCGATCCAAAAAAATCCTAAGGTTGAAATATCTCGATTTTGCACACCCTATATCTCTGTAATAATTCTTGCTAGACCCAAGTGTGATGCATTGATGAAATCAGCCCACAAAGGAGAATCTAAAAATGCAATGAAATACAGGGTGTATAAGAAAAAATATAACTTTGATACCTCACGCATTTTTAAGTCACCCTGTATAAAGCGAAATATTTTGGAAATGTGCTGCTCATGAGCTCAGATCATCACAACAATTTTTGTTCATCTATCTCAAACAGCAAAGGCGTTATCTCACTTTCCCATTTCAATGACTCACCCTGTATGTGTAGTAGGACAAATCATGTTGAGTCTACTCACTATAATGCGGTAAGAAAAATAGCAAAATTATGAAAAACATTCAATTTTTTTTTCTGTTTTGCAAGAACCGAGAGCCGCCACTGATGAGCATTTCAAAAGTTATTTATTATTTAGTTTATACTTGCTTTTATATATTTAGTGATATTGCTTTATTTACATACAGGGTGTTACAAAATCATGACAAATTGATGGAATGTAGGTGACCATTAGAGATAGCAACTAGGTGGCTGAAAATTGGGCAAAGGTGCGCCCTTTTGTACACAACAAAATTGCACTCGAAGAATTCAGAATATTTCCAAAGAGATCTGGAATGTTGGAATTGTTTTCATTTTGAACTGATATTTTGTCTTTGTTGACAGATTGTTTTGATAGAGAACGAAATTTTAGAATTGTTATTTATAACATGAAAATGATATTAGCAAATGAATTAACTGCTTTTTCTAATTTGATTATTCAGAACTTCTCAACGTTTAACAATATCTTCTTACACCTTCAGCTAACTGCTTTTTCCAGACATATTCATTTTATAGATTGTAACATAACAAAGGAGGTGAGAAACTAGCCAAAATGTGTCCCTCATGATCACCGGGATACCCATAGGTACAGTGATGCCCAATAAATAGGTAACGACTCTTGAGCAAATCGAAATATTTTTGTCTAAGCACATGTACTATTCATTGCCTAGAAAAGAACTGTCTCCCTCATTAGCATTTTATGATCTGCTTCGCACTGTGAAGGTATTATATAGGGTATACCCAGCGGTATATACCCAGAGGTGTAATAATTATTATTCGAACGTGAAAAATAACAATGACATAGTTCTTCTATGGCAACAACAATGAAATAAATAGGAATTGATCTGGACTGCTTCACAATGATTCAGTTCCGATGAGAACGATATAATATAATTATAACTAGAATCCAATCTTGGAATAAAGGGATTTACTATTTCGTCCTTCAAACCAGAAATGATAGTACTAAGAATGTGTAAATTTCAACAATCTTCAATTCATTAATTGGTCATACAAACCATCGAAACTTCAATTCGATAATATTTCATATGAAAATATAGAATGACGGACCTGATGGTATGAACGAATAAGTCAATAATATGGATATACGAACGTTATACGAAATATTCCGACGATCGATCTAAAGTATTTGAAAGCATATAGGTATGTATGAATATACCAACATTCTCAGAACAAACATTATAAAACAATGCCATGATTTATTGAATATAATATATGTATATACATATAATAATATATGACAACAAACTAACTAAACTGAAATAAATTTGAAACTATACAGCGTGTAATTTAGTTTATGGCTGAAAATAACGGATATGGTTCCTGAGCTCATTTTAAGAAAAAAAGTTGATATGAACATAATATGCCCTAAACCTCTCAACATCCGAGCTATAGGGTGTTGGAATTTTCAAGAGAGATTAACTTCAATATACTGAACAAGAACTAGTTTCAGGGCATATGTTCATATCAACTTTTCTTCACAAAATGAGGTAAGGAATCATATCCTATATTTTTAACTATCAATTAAATTACACCCTCTATAACCAGGAGAAAACGATCAATAAAATTGTGATAAAATTATGAATATATAGTACTGAATTATATAATATAGGTATATTCAGGTAGTCCATTCATTTTCAAAATTATGCTGAGTTGAAAAAATCTCTGAAAATTTTGGGTAAATCCGAGGATTAATCTGGCATAGCGCACTTCCAAATACGGGAGGTAAATGGAATTCCCTTATTTCTAATAGAGCACCACGTTTTTCTACATTTTTGATTCTATATATTACTCTGATATGAACCATAAAATATATCAGGTGATTTATTATACCAATTTCAATTTTTTCGGAGTAATTACGACTTTCGAGAATATTTTCAAAAATGATTTTCTCTATACCTAACTGAAACACTGAAAATCATGATTTCTCACTAGAGAGAACTGGTTCACATAATGCACTTTGGAGTGGAAATATGAATTCCATAAACAGGGATATCTACAGTGTGATTATTATCACCATGTAAAATAGATTTTTTCTGTGACAGGAAAAAAGTTTGGCATTTCATCTCTGTTGGCAGGTTATAAAATGTCACTTTTCATGAATTACTTTTTTCCCGTGGGAAAAAAGTGAGTACTTTTTTCCCGGATATATATCACATATATATACTCTGTTTATGGCTTTTGTTGTGCTATAGTTCCGAAAAATGAGTCAATAATACCGTCTTCGAGAAAGAACTGCAAGTCCTTTTATTCCATTCGACTTCGCGGTTTCGTATATTACTAAACAACTACTGAATTCGCAATTTTTTAAAATCAAATCACAGAATTGAACTGACAGAAGTGACATCAGATATTTGATTACTTCGAAAGAATGATAAAGATGTCTATAAAACGCAGGTGTCCCTACTGTTAAAAACTTGAAATT